GCAAGGGTGGAAGTTGGTTAAGTAAATGTGGAGGGCTGCAGGGTAAGACAGAGGTGAGAAGCAGAGGCATTGGTGGAGATGACTGTCAAGAAGTGTGGGGGCAAATTCCTAGCAGTGCTATTGCTGAGTCATAGGGGAGTTCTATTGTTAGTTTCCTGAGGAACCTCCACACTGTTTTCCAGAGGGGATGCATAGGAGCACATGTACCCCAATGTTCATAGCAGCACTCTCCACAATAGCTAAAACATGGAAAGAGCCTAAGTGTCCATCAACAGATGAATGGATCAAGAAGATGTGGTTTATCTATACCATGGAATACTACATGGCAATGAGAAACCATGAAATCTGGCCATGTGTAGCAACATGGATGGACCTTGAGGGTGTTATGCTGAGCAAAATAAGTCAGGCAGAGATGGACATATATCATATGTTTGCACGTATAGGAGTATTCAGAGGAACTTAACTGAGGAACAAGGGGGAGAAGGGGGGAAATGGTAGGGGAAAGGGAGAGAGGCAAACCATGAGAGACTCTTGAATGCTGACAAAAACTGAGGGCTGAGACTGATGGATGTGGAGGGGAGGAGGGATGGGCATGGAGGAGTACACTTGTGGGGATGAGCACTGGGTGTTATGTGGAAACTAATTTGAAAATAAACTATTTGTAAAAAAAAAAAAAAGTGTGGGGGCAAAGGGCAAGCATAGCGATAAAGCTTGTGAACTCTGGAGTCAGGGTGTTCAGTTTAAACCCTGGCTGTACCACCTACTAGTGTGGATAAGTCCCTTAACTTCTCTATACCCTTTTCCTCATTTGTAAAAAATGGGCAAGATAATATAGTACCTTCCTTATAGCATTGCTGGTGAATGAGTTAATGCACATAAAGGGCTTAGAATAGTACCTGACACATAATGAGTGCTTCATAGCTATTCATTTTTGGAAAAGCAGACTAGACAACAGTGAGACAACAAGGTGGGGGAAGTGTTGGTTGGGTGGTTAGTTTTCTGCTTGGAAGATTTAGCATATTTGTAGGCTGAGGGGGAAAGGGATGGGTACAAGGGAGGGATTGGCAGCAGGCAAAAGGGGGGAAGATAGTTAATGGATAAAGCTTCACGAGAGCAGCAAGCCTTGCTCTGAGACTGGAGAGAAGCAAGAGATGTGTAAAGAAGCTCGGGGAGAAAGGGGCAGATGAAAGAACACACTGGAATATCACTTCTTTTTGTGTGAGATATGCGAGACTTATTGTATCTATTGAGTTTTGCAGGTAGATTCTGTTCCTCTTCACAGCACTTCTCTTATGAAAATTTTAAAGCCATTTTTCCTTGCATGCATGTGCGATGATGTCAGTTATTAATTATAGTTTATAATAACATTCAAATCAACCTAATTGAGACTGGCTTATATCTGTTATGGAACTCGATACTATGCTGCTATAGCAAGGAACGAAGAGCTCTTTGGTATGACCACCAAGAGCTAATGTTGAGTAAGAAAAGTGAAGTGTCTAACAGTGGCACATCACGTTACCATTTTAAAACCACTTATTGTAATGAAAAGAGGAAGGAAAAAAAATCTAAAAGGGCATATTCATAGATGCCTAAAATATCCCTCATGTATACAAAAAAATTGGTTGCCCTCAGGGGGAAGGAACTCACTGGCTGGGGACTAGGGTGGAAGGAAGATTTCTCACTATGTGTCTTGTTAAACTCTTTGAATTCAGAACATGACAATGCACTCTATATGCAACAAGAATTAAATTAAAAAATTGCAAGTGTCTACAAATGGTTCCAGTTCTATTCCTGATGTTTGGTTTGGTTTCTTGGGGCTTCCGGATATAACCAGAATAAGACAAGCCTAATAACAGTATTAAGCACACCTGCTGTTTATGACCCCAAACATCTTCTCTGGAAAGACATTGCCATGGAGAACAAGTCACCTTGTTTTGTTGAGCACCACGGTTGTTGATACTTGTAGGTTTGGGAGGAGGTGCCCTGAAGCAGCAGAATTTCCCTGATAGGAAAGACATTCTTAGACTAATCTCAGACAGAATAACTGAGGAGTTTGGAATAGGAGAGAGTAGGAGCGAGCCAGATGGGTGCAGGGATGGGGTTGCCTATGAGACACTGAAGACTAGGGCAGCCAGACTGACCAAGACACAATTTTATTCTCTTTCTCTCTTGTATAGAACATGATGCCACTTCCTTGTGATCCTCACGTCTTCATTCTGCTACAGGTAATGGTTGTGGATATCTTTCATAGGGTTGCTGGGGGCAACCCATTTGCTGGGGGCAGCAAATGAGATCATGCACATAGGAGTCTGATCTGTAATAAGCACTCAGTAAATCTTAGTTGTCAATAATAAGTAAAATGGTTTGAACTTGTTTTGAAGGCAGGAATTTCGGAGACTGGGTACCCAGTTTGGGTCAGTTCCAGAGTGGAGATCAAGGGATACAGAGTGAAAAAACTTCGGTGAAAGCAGGGACTTGGAGGCTAAGGACAATATAAAAGTGTAAGCCTGTGGGAAGCTGAGAAATTTTGAGGAGAGACCTTTGGACTTTGGTAAAAGGGTGTGTGAATCCATCTCATCTATATCTCAGGTGGCTGTAAAAAACCTAGCTAACATATGAGTTAGAGCCAACCAGCACCCCAAGTTCATATGGTTCTGGTAATTACAGTGGGATTTGCCATGTGTTATGACTAGAACTCAGGACCTGCATTGACCCCAGGCAGATATTTGGGGGACTGTAAGGGAAGAGTCTGTCCTTGCTGCTCATTTCACATTTTATAGCTGACTTTAATGTGATCCATCCTAATGAAGACCAGTAGCATGTTTACAAACCAGAATTATCTACTTTTCATAGAAATCATTGCCATGGTTTTACAGCTTGAAAACGAAGGCAGTTCCAGGAGCCCACCCAAACATATCCAGCACTTCTGGGTGTCTGTTACATATAGAACATGGAGGTCTGATTACCCTCATTTCTAATGGCCAAAGGTCATTTCTAATGGCCAAAGTTCACCAGGATTTCATACAATTATTTAAATTCCTGTCTTCAGAAGGAGGTGCTTCTGGGGGAATTACATGATACTACCAGTAGCTGCTGTGTAGACTTAAACTAAATTCAGGTTATTGGAAAATGTTTTTTTAAATTTTTTAAATGTTTTATTTCTTTCTGAGAGAGAGAGAGAGAGAGAGAAAGAGAGACAGCGTGAGCAGGGGAGGGTCAGAGAGAGAGGGAGAAACAGAATCAGCCTCCAGGCTCTGAGCTGTCAGCACAGAGCCCGACACGGTGTTCAAACCCACGAACTGTGAGATCATGACCTGAGCCAAACTCGGACACTTAACTAACTGAGCCACCCAGGCGCCCTGGAAAATGTTTTTATGAGTTAAAAAATGAATGTTACCTCCTGTCTCAGTCATCTGAATGCTGTTGTCATTGCCCCCCAATTTTTAACCCATCTTTGGTTCTGCCACAGGTTGTGTCTTACAGGTATTTCTTAAAGCAGTATCACCTGATTATCCACATTTATTTCCCTGAGGTTATAATGCCATGTGTAAGTGCAGCCAAGGGTGATGATTTGGAGTCACAAAACCATGTAGCTGGCTAATTTGGGATGTCCCAGGGATTTCTATATAGAGGCTTTTCCATTAGAAAGATTTATTTTTAAATGCCCTTACCTCTGGAAAAGTGTTGTGCTTTAAAACCCCCTCCCTCTCAATCCATTTTTTCTCCTATCCATTTTTTTTTTGGTCTGTCTATCATTCAATCTATCCTTTAGTGTTTATTGTACCCTTTAAAAAAGGCAATTTGTAAGTAAGGAGAACAGGTAGTGGCCTAACGACATACTTAAGAGTATTTCTCACCTTGACCTGATCTGGAACTGACGTCTTGGTTTTTATGTGTAGTCCCTGACCCTTCTTTGTAAAAGGAGGCATATCTTGGCAGCAGGAGACTGTGGTCAGGAGATCTCAGTAGCGTTGGCTCCTTACTCCAGGCAAGGACTCCCACATTTCAGCCTGGGCAAGCTCCTCCTGGATGGATCCTTTCACAATCTTGGAACGTGTCCACTATGGCAGCCTCATCCCATTACAGTGCAGGTTCCAGGCATTTGTCACAGTGAACTCATATGCCCCCAAACGGATCAGTGTCTCTGTGAAATTTGACAGTTGGCAGCCTCCTGGCAGAGTGAGTCTCAGAAAGTCTGCTTCAGCTGGGTGATTAAGCTCTGGCTGTTCTCCATTTTGGACCAGGCTTGGATGCAGCGGGTGGCTGGTGTATCAGAGTCATGCATTTGTACATTCCACACGTATTAAGCACCCTCTGTGAGCCAGGCACTCTGAGCCACTGAATATTGGAAGGTGATCAAGACCCCTCCAGTTGCTCCCACTCAGTGGCTGGAGCTCTGTACTCATTTGGAGATGGGCCTGAGAGCCCTCTGACCCTTCTGAGGCTAACTAGGCCCTTACTTGGTGGGAATGGTAGAGGATCCTCAGAGACTGACCTAGAGTTGGCCAAACGGTTGTGCTTTCTACTCCTAGGAAAGGACCACGTTACAGTGGGGGAGGGAGTGACTTTCCACCCTCCTCATTGGGATTAGAACAGTTTGGCCTGAGCTCCTACAGGGGCTTTATGGATTTGGCCTGTGCAGTCTGGACAGGCAGCAGAGCTTTGGATCTAGGAGTCTGAGGGGAGGAGTGAATGTGGCCAGAGAGATGCATTCAGAGCCAGACTTGATCACAGACCAGGGTAAGATAAAAGCAAGGTCATAGGACAGATGAGGACCAGCAAGAGGGGCAGAAAGTGTGGGTGCAGGGGGCGCCTGGGTGGCTTAGTTGGTTAAGCGTCCGACTTTCACTTAGGTCATGATCTCACGGTTCATGGGTTCAAGCCCTGCGTCGGGCTCTGTGCTGACTGCCAGCTCAGAGCCTAGAGCCTGTTTCAGAGTCTGTGACTCCCTCTCTCTCTGACCCTGCTCTGCTCATGCTGTCTCTCTCTCTCTCCTAGAAATAAATAAAACATTAAAAAAAAAAAGAAGAAAGTGTGGGTACAGGACCCAAGACAAGAAGTAGGTTTGGGTTGGGGTGAGCACTGGGTGTTGTATGGAAACCAACTTGACAATAAACTATTTAAGGGAAAAAAAAAAAAAAAAAAAGATCTGGCCCTCCTGGCAGGAAGGGTTAGCTCTTTTCCCCTTATATTCTCTGCATCCAGTGTGGTCCTTACTACAAATGCTCATTAATTTGAATTAAATTCCATAGACAATTTTTTAAAACCCACTGTCTATCTATCATAATGTGTATTAAATCCAGGCCGACAAGCCGCCACTACCTGAGGTGTAAAGAATGGAGGAAGAGGCAGTCTTTATGCACTGGCTTCTGCCATGCATGGGGCTGAGCCCCTCACCTTTATTATCTCACTGAAGCCTTTAAAGAACCCCACGAAGTGGAGAAGACCATCCCCAGGGAGACGAGGAAACAGCTTCAGAGAAGTTATTTGCCCACGTTCACATGACTGTGATGTGCTGAGGGTGGGACTACAGTGTGTAGGAGTCCAGGTTGGTCTGATTTTCAACACCCAAATCTCTTCCTCAAACCACCCTGAAAACCCAAGGGGAGCAAAGGTTTTCATGTTTGTGCTGCTGGCATTGGGCCTGAATGGGGAAAGCAGTCAATTAATACGTTTTTGATGAATGAATGAATGAGCAAGTGATGAGTGAGTAGTGGATGGAGCTGCGTCTTTGTTCATGAATATGTGATTGATGAGTCCTTGGCCATGGAGTTCGCACACATGAGGCAGATGGAGACTCAGGTTTTGAGGTCTTACCAATAAAAGGCAGGGATCACATTTTCTATTTCTTTGATGTTCTATATTCAGTAGGCGCTGCATTAATTCCCTATATATAATAATGCTCCTGCAACCAGAACTCTATCACAAACAGCTGGGGTCTCTAAAAGACAGCAACACAGTGGTTCAAACCCAGTGGAGGTTTTGAGCACTTGTTCAGATATGAGGGGAGTGCTTGAGACTTTTTCTTCCTTTATCTGAGCCACCTTTACTAACTCACAGTACTGAAAGATTACAAGGTAATTTCTGATGTTTCTGGGACTCCTTGCTACTCTCTTCTTGAAAGCAATTTAAAATCTGTCTGCTCACATGCACATTTTTTACAAACAAAAGTTTATTTGCTATATATAGAAAAACGCCACCAGAGGACTAATTTGGCAGCTTTGTTGATTACCCATTGTAATGAGCCTTATTACATAATTAAAAGAATTTTTTTCCCTAACTGCATTTCACTACTAATTAACATTTACACATTTTGCAGTGGACACTTTGGGTTGAATTGGAAACATAATTATGTCATTTCTATGCAAAGAGGAGCTTATGAATTATTAATTAATATTAAATCTGTTGATTAAAGGCTAATTCATAAGTAAACATATTACAGCTCACCATGTATTGCTCTCTAGATGCTTTCATTTGTGATTTCTATGGACCCTTGTCCCTAGACAAGTATCAGGGAAAGCACTAAAGAAAGACAGAAGCTGGCCACATAGCTTGCAAGGAACAAAAATAATCCATTTCAAACTCTTTTTTTTTTAATGTTTATTTATTTTTGAGAGAGAGACAGAGTGTGAGCAGGGGAGGGGCAGAGAGAGGAGAGGGAAACACAGAATCTGAAGCAGGTTCCAGGCTCCAAGCTGCCAGCACAGAGCCTGACGTGAGGCTCAAAACCATGAAGGCATGAGATCATGACCTGAGCCAAAACCAAGAGTCAGATGCATAAGCAACTGATCCATCCAGGTGCCCCAACCATGGGTTATCTTTGATTTACCTTGACCTGGCAGCTCTTTTGCTGACCTGTCCTTCACAAATGTTCCATGTCACAGTGTGTGTGTGTGTGTGTGTGTGTGTGTGTGTGTGTGTGTGTGTTTTGCTTTCCTTTGTAGTAAGAGTTACTTTCTGCTGCTTGGGGAGATCCAAGCTAAGAATTACTGGGTAATATTATGTTACTTTCTACATCACTGTTTTAAAAAATTCACACACACTCCCATTGTTGGCAACATTAGTACTTGTATGTGTTTAGTAGGATTGTTTACATCCTTCGCTTTATTTGACCTACATAATTCCCATGGAAGAGAAGAAAATATTGTTATTCTAATTTTATTCATAAATGAATATATCACAGACAAGCTAGATGGCTTGGCCCTTGTCTTACAGCTAGTTACTCTTGAAGGCGGGAACTGACCTGGGTCTTTAGCTTCTGTGTATAGCTGTTCTCAGGACATCTAACCCTATGAGCCTTCACTCCATCCCCTTCTTCCCCCACATATGCCCATTGGGTGAAAGGGGAGCATGTGGGAAAGCCCAGGTTTTAGACTTTATGTCCCTTCTCTCTGAATACTTCTCCAACCCGGTTGATCCATTCTTTCCAATAGAGTTCTCACGGCCGGTTAGAGTATAATCATCCCTAGAATGAACACCATATCACATCATCAAAGTCACTTACCCTACAGTGGTTGAGGTTAATGATTGCTTTCCCAAGAGGATATTTTTCTGGAAGTGAAGTAAGCATCACTGATCTGGCTTGTACAGATGTGGGGGTCCAAGATGTTTCTTCACAGCGAATATAGAGCTACTAACTCCAGCAGGACCCTCAGGTTCTAACCTGACATAAGCTGGTCACAGAGCTGAATGACTTGATCTCACAGGAGCATTGCTGGTAAGAAAGGCTCCACTGGTCAGGCGCCTGGGTGGCTCAGTCTGTTAAGTGTCTGACTTCAGCTTAGGTCATGATCTTGCCGTCCTTGGGTTTGAGCCCTGCATTGGGCTCTGTGCTGACAGCTCAGAGCCTGGAGCTTGCTTTGGATTCTGTGTCCCCCTTTCTCTCTGCCCCTCCCCTGCTCATGCTCTGTCTCTCTCTCTCTCTCTCTCTCTCAAAAATAAATAAACTTAAAAAAAAAAAAGCAAGGCTCCAGTTGAGACCTTTGGAGGTCAGAGACAGATGGAGGGATCTAGATGTCCCTTTGGACTGGCTCTGGTCACATGTGATGGCCCCTCTTCATTTCTCCCACCTTAACTTGCAGACAAAATGTATCCCTAACTCCTGACTTGGGGGGCCAAGGCCTTGTCATTAAAACTGGAATTGCAGGGGCGCCTGGGTGGCTTGGTCGGTTGGGCGTCCGACTTTCGCTTGGGTCATGATCTCGCGGTTCGTGGGTTCGGGCCCCGCGTCGGGCTCTGTGCTGATTGCCAGCTCAGAGCCTGGAGCCTGTTTCAGTCTGTGACTCCCTCTCTCTCTGACCCTCCCCTGCTCACGCTGTCTCTCTCTCTCTCCTAGAAATAAATAAAACATTAAAAAAAAAAAACTGGAATTGCAGCTTTGATATGAGGATACAGACGACTGTGGCCTTTTGCCCAGGAAATGATGCTGTCCATCAGTCCTATCTGGATTTTCATATTGCCGTCCAAACTGCTGAAGTAACAAGCCTCATCATTCCAGAGCAAAGCCTCAGCTCTCTGGTCTGCTCTTCTACCAGCTGCCCTATTGGAGACCCCTATGCTGTTGATTACACTAGACCTCCTAGTTGGGCATACCCCTTTCCCACAGATCATGGCTTGTGCTTCTCCCTTTCCCTACCTCATCCTCTTCCCAGCCATGGACAGTTCAAAATAGGACCTCAAAGTGTCCTGGCCCAGATAGTTTGTATAAAATTTTAACAGTTTCAACAAGGGAAGATCTTGTGGTAGGGGGATATGGTCATATACCCTGTTCTTGGTTTCCATTTGCCTTTATGAGAAATGGGTGTACTCCTTTCTTAGATTCTTCTGTAGCATCAAAATTATTCACGCATGGTTCCTGAAACTTAAACGGATATTCTAGAATCGTTTACTGAATGAATGAATGAATGAATGAACCTGAAGTCTAAAAATTCCAGCACCCCAAATTCCATAAAGACCATCCTACCTCCATTGCTTTCTCCTCTGCCTCAGTGCACTTACTGCCAAAATGTCTCTCCAGTGCACCCTTCAACCAGCCTCTGAGGTCTTCCTGTGTTCACTCAGTACCTGGAAGGGGATCTAATCTGGAGGTCCAAGACAGACTCCCTTGAGTTCTCTGCCGCTGAGCTTGGCCTGACGTGTTCTTGGCAGTGGAATGGAGCTTAGGCCCTGGTTGAACGCCCAGCTGTCACAATTTCACTCCCAGTGTAGGGCCCAGGAGAGAGAACTGAGGAGGTTTATTATATAGGAGCTCAGAATACTTTAATTTGACCCAACCTCGTGTTGATCCTAGGAGATGGCACAGATAAGAAAGTAACCAGGATCCTACAGAAATAAGACCCCCCAAGGTTTAGCAGGTACAGTTGGAAGAAAAGTCTAAGCTCTTCTAGAACGTAACCCAGTCTTCCTCCCAAACATAGCAGTAGAACTAAAGCCAGCGAGAGTGAGCTCTGGTACTGTTATAATCCACTCTGTCAGCTTTGCCTCATCTTTCTCCAGCATGTACTATGCATTCATTCTTCTAAAATGTTTTCCTCCTTGTTCATGATTCAACCTACATCCATGTTCATGATGAATCCCAAAGTACAGCCTAGCCCACCTTCCTTTGCAGATTCGGCTGGATTACCTGGTCCAGCCTTGAAGCATTTCTGCACCTCTGATTTCCATCCATATTTAGTCCTGACTGCTCATGCAGCTGCAGCTAATCAGGGCACTGGCAATCCAGTCGAGGAATAAATTATTTAAGAGGGCTGAGCTGCTGTAACAAGATCCAGCAAAATTTCAGTGGTCCCGGAAATATAGAAGTTTATTTCTCTTTCATGTTTTCATCCAGGGAAATGTTTCAGGTCAGTAGCCAACTCTCCTCATTATTTAAGGGCCCAGGCTGGTGGGGATTCTGCCATCTTCATCACCTGATTCCCAAGGCCACTTGCTCTTTGCCTTTCCCCACCCTAGGGGAAACAGAAAAGAACTCATGGAAGGGGTATGTATAGTCTGGTCTTGGGCCTTTATAGCCTAGAAGTGGCCTGCATCACTTCCACTCACATTCCACTGTCTATTAGTTACATGGCCACACCTGAGTAATTGCAAAGGAGGCTGGGAAATAAACCCACTTACATGTTCAGTTACATATAAGAAGAGGAACTGGGTTTGGTGGACAGCTAGCAATCTCTGCCATAAGGAAGGAGGACCCACACATGAAACTGCAGATCACATGTCTAAAACATGAACCCAGGGGAGAATAACACTAATTCTGAGTAGCAGCAAGCTGTGAAGGAGATCGGTTTCCAAAGATTTATGAATATGTTTTGCTTTGAATATGGTGGCAAGGGATAGAGTGAGCAGAAGAGAGTTGAGGTGGGGGCATATGCACCTGTCTAGTATAATCATCCATGTGTTCAATTAATTCTTTTGGTATGCCAGCAATAGGAATGAGCAAGTGGTATATCGGAGCCAGAACACAAATGAGCTTGGCTGGAGGACAAGGCCCAAGTTAGGGGAGTAACATGCAGAAGAAGCATGTGAGGCTGATGGAGTAGGGGGAACAGATGAAAGGTCAATGCCCTGCTATGGAAATTGGAGGTTATATGACAGACAAGAGGAAAGTTCTTCCTGATCGAGCTAGCAGCTGCATGTAGAAAATAGTAGAGAGAGATCAAAGGTATCAAGACAAGATGAAGGCAATTACCCAAAAGTTATAGATAAGGGAGTGAGTCCTGGATTAAAAGTGAAACTAGAGAAATAAAAAGGAAGATACTGATAACAAAGAAAATGAGCAGGATGCAGGGACTGATCTGACATGGGGGGGTGAAGCAGAATACACTTCTGAGAGTGGAGAACTTGGCACCATTGATGGAAGGAGAAAGCTGGAGAGAAGGATGGTGAAGCGTTGTGTGCATATCAACTCTTTACATCCACGTAGAGCTGTCTGGTGGGTAACTGGAGATATAACACTCGAGGGAGGATGGGAAATGAGGGCTAGAAACGCGAAGCCTGGGAGAGATGTGCTCGTGAATGATGCTGAAATGTGTATAGCACCTCAAGAACAGGTATAGAGGGGCGCTTGGCTGGTTTGGTGGATAGAGCATGTGACTCTGGATCTCAGGGTCATGAGTTCCAGCCCCACATTGGGTGTAGAGATTGCTTAAATATATATATAATAATGATAAAAAACAAGTATAGTGATGGAGAATGACTGACTGAGGATAGAGCCAATGTGATATGCACATCAGTGATATTTTTGTGTCTATTGAGCTATTACTAAGATAATTTTGCTCAAATGGAATCCTGACCCCAGGAAACCAGCAAGAAGCATAAGAAGCAGTTATGCATTCCATTTTTATTGTCTCTTTTATATGTGGATGCAAATGTTTTCTTAATTGAATGTCCTCATTTTTCTAAATTCTGCTAGAGAGGTTCAAGGGGGATAAGTAAGACACAGGGAGGTGAAGTCATTTGCTTTTAGTTGCACGAGTTAATGGCTGCAGTCATGATATAACTCAAGACCATATCCATTAGGACAGTGTTCCCCAAGTCTGGGAATCGATAATCTATGGTTTCATTAAAGCAAAAGCATGATGCTTGAAGACAAAAGCATGTCACAGTATTTCCTGGCACCATAAAAGTTACTTTAACATTGAAATTTTATCCCTGTTGTTCAGAGTCACACTTTGTATGTATTATTGAGTGCTTCAGTTCAGAAAGTTAGCCCCAAGGAACCTTTATGCAGCTGGCTTTGGCTGTTTTAGTCCCTGGTCAGGCTTCCATTCGTTTCATCTCTGAAATCTAGTGATCTAATCTAATAAAATTATAAAAGATTCTAAACTGCTCAGCACTTAATCAGCTTAGTCCAAGAGAATTAAATCAAAGCCCTAGGTGTGCACACTTCATCTTTCAGATGCAATCTCACCCTGGGAGACAATCTTATTATTTGGTTACTTATTATTTGGGAGGCTGGAAGGTTGGGAGGGGATTGCAGGAATTCTAAAAGATGTGCCAAGAACCTAACACATGGAGGCAGCTCTGTGGCTTTACTGGTGAAGAGCTGGGGTTTGGGCTACAGATAGGAGATCTGACCCATGTGCCATCACTTATTAACTATGTGACATTGGAAGTTCCTGCGCTTCAAATTCACCATCCATTGAGTTGAATTAATAGAACTAACATGGTGGTGTTAAGAATTCATTGAGATTTTATATATGCATCAAGCTTTTTAACATACGTATATACACGTATATGCGTATATATATTCTAGCAGTGTATATGTATACACACACACACACACACACACACACACACACACACACACACACATATCCTACTGTGGGTGTCCCAGCACTGTCTTTTACAAAAATACAAGTTGGCATTATTATAATTACTAATTATTCTATTGAGTGGGGGAGAGAGGTAGAGGGGGACAGAGAGAGAATCTTAAGCGGGCTCCTCACTCAGTGTGGAGCCCGACATGGGGCTTGATCCCATGACCCTGGGATTATGACCTGAGCCAAAATCAAGACGCTCAGTCAACTGAGCCACCCAGGTGCCTCTAAAAATATTTATTAAAAAAATATAGCAGTGGGGTCAAAGAGTGAGAGAAAGGCTACTGGACATACTGTTGAGAGACGTTTGTTCTGACTGCATCATGACAAACTTCAGGATACCAGAAAGAGATCAATGCCCGGTTATCATGTTCCTCTCCTAGAAAAGACAATTGAAAGAACATAGTTCTGGTGATGGTTCTGAAAGGTAAACATCACTGAGCATAGTCCTGAGAAGACTTTTGGGGGACATCCCACTTTATGCCTTATTCCAAGTGTGGAATAGAACATGTCCCCTTGCACTGGACTGGGATGAACCCAACACTGTGAGAATCTCAGAGTTTCAGCGGTATTTTTTTCTAGTGACTCATCTTCTTTTGCTCTTGGTGGTGTGGTGGGGAAAAAGGCTTCTGTAGTTTCAGTCCTAGGACAGGCTCTGATTCTATTTTGACAAAAATTCAATTTTTCAACTGAGTTTTCTGCAAATCTGGGATCTGTTAATAATCAAAGCGGCCTCCTCAGGAAGTTATAAATTCATTTATTCATTGTACATTTATTAGTGCCCTGCTCTGGTCCAGGCACTGGAAATGCAGAGACAAGACACACAGGGCTCTTAGGAGCTTCCCAGTGTGGAGAGCTGCCAGGGCGCAGGGGAGCTGCAGATGCTGCAAGGACAGCCCCAGCTCTAATGAAAGTCTACATGTAGACAGCCCACCCCGTCTCAAAGGCTGGGGAATATTGAGGACTGGCATGTTACTGTTCCTTAGAAGAATTCCCTTAAAATCATCTCATTTCTCACAGCATTTCTTTTATGCCTCTGAATCCTATTGTAGAATTTTGGCCCAGAAGCTATTTTAAACTTTTAACAGTGGATTCTGTTGTGACTAAGCAGTGCCAAAGTAACAGCTGACATTATGAGGATATTTATAAAATTGCTTTGTCCTTTCCAAAGGGAGAACTATTTTGCATTGCAAAAAGAGGTTGGAAGTGGCACTGAGTGCTATTCCCTGTGATTCTAGAAATCACAGAAAGTTTTCACTATATCTACATGAATTCCTGACAGTATATAGCTTCTGAAATTTAGCTCCTCACTCCCAGTGACTTTTTAGTCCCAGTGCATAATAATGGTTCTGAAGTCCATGGGTTAAGTATTCTTAAAGCTACTTGCTGTCTCTCTGAAAGGCTCTCTCAAGTTGTGCACTGCACAACTTGCACAGCTGAATATGACAGCCCTTAATTTAGGTAGTTTCAAATCACAAAGGGGAGACTTCTTGTTTCTCCCCTATCATAGGTCAGGATTGATTATAAATATTGCTGAAATGAGAATACATTTGAGTATCCATCCAAATACATGGAAGCTCTTGCTGTCTTTTTTCTCATTATCTATGATTCATATGTGAAGAGCCAGGTCATTTGGACTTGCATCCATGTTCTATCCCTGGGACCTTGGGCAGATTACTTCACCTTTTGAGCTTCATCTATAAAATGGGATGATAATGGCTAATACTTAATGAGCTTTCACCATAAGCCAGACAACATTCCAAGTCCATTACCTAATTTAATGCAAAGTATCTCATAAGGTGTTGTTTTAATCACTTTCTCTACAGAAGAGGTGACCAAAGCTTAAACTTTGGGATCAAGATCTATCCAAGGTCACCGAGGAATTAGTACAGGGGTCAGGACTTGAACCCAGATCTGTCTGGCTCAGATGCCCATGCAGTTCACTATGCCATGAACTAGTCTCATGGATTGCTGCATTATAGTCCCTGTACAAAATGGATTTTTTACTTAAGTTAGCAAATTGTCTTTCTGTCTTATCATTGTTTCAAGGCAGACTTTGGTGGTGCTCAGGTTTGTCTTGAGAGGTCTGGTTCAGTGAACAGGTAGCAACACCTCCTTCTGATACTATCTTTGACTGAACACATTCTGCAGGACTTAATAGCTCTACTAGAAATTTTAGATCACACGTTGCGTTAATGCTAATAAATATTCAGTTCTCTTCTGTTCTTCAAGTGAGGTTTGAATCTACTTGATATTTTTTCTCTACGGGTTGGCAGAGTCAACAGTGCATTCTGTGAACCTAAAATGCTATACCTCTGTTTGAATAATTAATATATTCTAGCAACAGCAATCACTGGATCTTTTGGCTACCCACTTTGATTGTGTTCATCCAGTTGGACAGAACACCAAGTTGTAGCAACTTGAGGTTTTCTAAATGAGGGCTTAAAATAATCTAATCAGTTGTCTGGGCTGCTTTCCCATGAAGAACAGGTGTTGTAACGTAATTGACTCCCTGATGTTGTCGCTGGAATAAAAGAGGAGAAGACACATGAGCTTGGGTCTCTATACAGATGACCAGGGAGGCTCGTGTAGGACGCTGAATGCCCCACGGCTGACCTCAGGGTCTGGGGCTCCAACTCCCACACAGCCAAGTCTAGCACACTGTGTTGACTGAATCGTGCTAGGGTTTGCTTCTCATCTTCATTTTATTTTACTTGAATTTTTTGAGTAATTTTCTCTGATTATAAAAGGAATACATGTTTTTAAAGCAAACCTTTGAAAAATAAAAGCACAATGAGAAACAGAGAGGCACTCATCATGCCATTCTCTAAAGATAACTTCTATTAATATTTCAATGTATTTTCCAGTAGATACAAATGTAGATGTAGATACAAGATATATAGTTTATAATTGCAATACCTTTCTATTGCTGCCAAAACAGGTTACCACAAACTTGGTGTTTTATAATCAGACACATTTATGACTCTGTAAATCAGAGGGTGTAAGTGTCACTGGGCTAAAATCAACGTGTTGGCAGAGTGTTCTTTTTGGAGGCTCTCAGGGAGAATCCCATTTCCCTGCTCATTCAGGTTGTTAGCAGAATTCGGTTCTTTGTGATCGTAGGATTGAGGTTCTCAAGCAAGAGCTGGCTATACGTAAAGGGCCATTCACAGCTTCTGGGGCAACTTACATTTCTTAGCTTGTGGTCCCCATCCCCATCTTCAAAGCCAGCGGTGGTTGATCAAGTCTTTCTAACATGGCATCTCTCTGATGGCAGCTGGGAATGTTTCTTCATTTCAAGGACTCGATTAGATTGGGCTCACCTGGATAATCCATTTCAAGGTCTATAACCTTAATCACTTCTACAAAGTCCCTTTTTCCATGTAAGGTAACATAGCCAGAATTGGAATGTGTACATCTTTGTGGGTGATTCTTCTGACTACCAAAATAACCTTGGGAACATCCATTTATTTAAGGAGTCTCAAACTTCAGTATGTATAAGATTCACCTGTGGAGCTGTGGACCTGAGGTGGGATCCAGGAGTCTTTATTGTAGCAGGCTCCTCCTATGATTCTGGAACAGTGGTCCATGAATCACACTTAAGAAAGCTTGGTCATGGCATCCTTTTAGCATATATATATTTTAATGAATGTATAGCATGCATGTATCATTTTTTTTATAAGTAAGTCTTTCATAATCCTATTGGTAATTACTTCTTTATGCCATCCACAATTATTTCCTTATCACACCTTCCTTTAAAGGAAAGGAAATGCAAAACTCTTTCACATTTATGAGCAATTCTGTGCCTGGGTGTGTAGTGTTTTGTTTTTGTGGTGGAGGTGCTTGTTTTTGTTCACTTATTGGAGCGTTGAGAATCCCAGGGCCACTATGTTTCCAAATGTTAAGAAGAAGCTGACAGCATTATTGATCATCTGCCTGTCACAGTGACCAACCAAGGTCTGTTCCTGCAGTGTTTGACCATTGCATTTCTGTCACTCCCTGGGGAGGGCAGAGGATGCATTTTGCGAAGTTCATAACTCACCCAAACCTCCTGGGTTTGGTGTTTCCACCTGAACTGGAAAATTCTGATGTGCAAGTTCATTTACTCTTAAAATGTTGTTTCTAAGAAAAAGTGTTCAGAAAATCCCTTATAAATGGCTTCCAAGCTATCAGAGAGGTGGAAGCACAACATTTAATGACTTAAGTAGAAAGGGATAGTGGCACAAATATCTTCCTTAAATTACTTAATTTTAAAATTGGAAAGGCATTGGGGGAAAAAAACCCAACAACAACAACAACAACTCAGGGGGTTCCATTTTCTTATACTTGAGGTTTGGAAGATAATTGTACACTATTCAAGGGATATAATCTGATAATCCAAACATGTTCAGGAACCTCAAAGTTTGACAGACAATGTTCATTACTTGCCTTTCTTAAGAAAGCATTTATACATCTTGAAAAATGATATTGTCACTATAATCACAAAGAACTATTGTTTCTATTTTTTAACCCTAGAAAGAACTTGGTTATATTGAAATCTTGGAAATTTAATGTACAGGAATTTTCCCCCACTAAATCAAAACCTTTGTAATGAAACATCATGTGCATTCTTCATTCTGCTACAGATTAAGATTTTATTTTCTAAAACCAGAATTGATAGCATTAAGTGAAACATAATTCAGACAATTTACATTTTACTAAGCAATGAATCTGTTTATAGGTGCAGGAGCAGGCTACTGCGAAATTAGTGACTGCCATACAGTGTAGAGGCCTAATGGGCTCGAGACTGTGAACAAACCCAGAGGGAAGAACACTGCAGAAGGTGAAAGACAATTCCACTTTCTACTCTGTTTTTGAAAAGAAAGTCCTGGAAACTAATTAAGTGTCTAAAGGAACATTAGCACTCTTCTTTTCTTTCCTTTTCTATAAATAAATTATTCCAGAACCACATCTTCCTAAAGATGAGAAGATTCTAAGTATGTATATTTACCTGTGTGGGTTTAGTGAAATAAACAAGAAGAATCCTGTTGTGGAAGAACTTTCTCTGGTAGATGAGCTCCTTACATCTTTTGAACACTTTTATTTTATTTTATTTTTATTTTATTTTATTTTTTTAATTTAATTTTTATTTTGTTTTACTTTATTTTATTTTAATTGAAATATAATTGACATATAACATTGTATAACTTAAAGGTGTACAACACACTGATTTTATACACTTACATATTGCAATATGATTATCACCATAGCGTTAGCTAACACCTCTCTCATGTCACATAATTATCATTTGTTTTTCTGTGGTGAGAACATTTAAGATCTAATCTCTTAGCAACTTAAAGTACATAATACAGTATTGTTGACTATAATCACTATGTGGTGCATTTGATCCAGAACTTACTCATTTTCTAGTTTCAAGTTTATATCATTTGACCAACACCTCCCCAGTTTCTCCACCCCCTATAATTCCTGGTAACCACCATTCTACTGTTTCTTTTATTTACTTTTTTAAGTTTATTTATTTTGAGAGAGACAGAGACACATTGCCAGGGTAGAGCCTGACTCAGGGCTCAAACCCACGAAACCACAAGACCATGACCAGAGCCAAAACCAAGAGTTGGATGCTTAACCGACTGAGCCGCCCAGGTGCCCATCTTCTTCCTGTTTCTAGGAGTTTTGCTTTTTTAGATTCCACATATAAGTGAGATCCTACAGTATTTGCCTTTTTCAATCAAACTTCTCTCACTTAACATAATGCCCTCAAGGGCCGTCCATGTTGTTCCAAATGGCAGGATTTTTTTTCTTTCTCATGAGTGAATAATAGTCGATTGTGTGTGTGTGTGTATGTGTGTGTGTGTGTGTATCATATCTGTCTTATCCATTCATGCATTGTTGGATACTTAGGTTATTTCCATATGAACACTTTAAAAATGTATTTAAAACAAATTCTGGAGTTTAATAGTAAACACTTTAACCTTACTTCTGCTCTTTGGAGATGCTGACTATAAAGGTAGAGATTCTAGACATGAGAGGGAGATGGGGAGAGAAGAAGACATTCTAGAAAGGTCCAAATAAAATAGAATGAGTCATTTAAAGTGTGGTCACAGCAGTTCCAGGTATTGGCAAGTATACGGGGCCACAAGGGCTCTTGTTGGTGAGCATGTAAAATGGCACAGCAACTTTGGAAAATAGGCGGTATCTTAGAAAGTTGAACGTACACTTACCATATGACTCTGGGATAATTCCTGGGTATTTTACCCAAGAGAAATGAAAATATTTCAAAAGACTTGTACATGAATAGGCATCGCAGCTTTATTCATAATAGTAAAATTTTGGAAGCAACCCCAAATGTTCATCAATAGGTGAGTGGATTAAAAAAAATGTGTTCTATTCATACAATGGGATACTGCATAGCAATAGGAAGGAACATACTACCCATATACACAAAACATGGGTGGCTATCAAAGCCTTTCTGTTGATCAGAACTAATACTACATATGGTATGTTTCGTTTAAACAAGACTCTACAAAAGACAAATCTCTTCTTTAGTAGATGTGACAGCAGTGTCTGGGGCTGGAGGTATAGATAGGATTGACTGGGAAGTGGCACAAGGGGGCCAATTTTAAAATTTTCCACATCTTGATTCAGGTGATTCACACTTCTCAAAACTCACTAAATTGACAGAGTGTGTCTATTTTATTATATGTAAATTGTGACGTAGTAAAATTGATTTTTAAAATGTAGTTGCAGGAATAAGTGAACTGATGATAGGTGTGGTTCAGAACCACTTCACAGCATTGCAGACAATTATGGCAAGAAGTGAAAGTACTTCAGACTGTTTTTAAGAAGTGCTAATACAAAGCTCATTGCTGTCATCTGTGACTGAGTTGTTAGACACCTAAAATCCCTGTAAGGGAATTCCCATCCTTTTCCAGGTGAATCACACACATGCGCACACACAGAGATGCTCAAGGGAGAAGATGAAAGTGAGAAACACCTTGTCCTTGCTTCTAGATTTTAGTTCGACATGTTCACTGAGCCAACATCTATTGGTTTTGCCTGGTACAGAGTGCTCCAAGGTGAATATACGGTTCTCACCTTTTAAGGGCAAACAGTCCAGCAAAAGATTCGGGATCTTAACAAGGACTCAGCACAGTGAGATTAGTTAACTATAATGACAGCAATACTAACAATCGCTTATCAAGTGCTTTCCTGTGGCAAGCACTTAGCACGGTGGTTAAAATATTATCTCACTGAATCCTTACAACATGGGTGAAGGTTGGCATTTGGGTATTGTTAGCTCCCTGTTTTACAGAAGACACAACAGAAACTCAGAGATGTTAAGTAACTTACCGAATATTACACAGTTAATGAGTGTTAATGGCAGAATCGAAGTCTGCTCATAACCATTATGTTGTAGCTCAATAGCTGAATATGTGTAATATGAATATAGGGCATTTATTTGACTTCAGGTATTCAGAAACCATTATAATTTGCCTTGATCAGACCCCCCCTCCTCAAATTCCAAGCCTGCCAGGAAAAGTCTTCCCCCCACCCCAAACAGGTATTGTTGTTACCTTTGTCCAGATTCTTTTTAAGATTGTCTTTCTGAACAATAGGCTGGACTCCCTGTAATTCCTTACACTGACATTCTTCTGCCAGGGGAGCCTGCAGAGCCAAATAATATTCTTGGATTTGTGTCTCTCATGTTGTCACTGATTAGTCCTAACTCTTCCTGGCAAGGCTCCTACCAGGCTATTTCAGGAAACAAAAATTCATTACATACATCCTTATTGATTTTCCCTCTCTTTTGCTTATTACTGAAATGCTTTGCCCTCCCTCTCTTGAAGCAACAGCATTGCAATTACTGGAAGGTCTGCTCTCCCCAGCAGCCTGCCCCTAGGCCCAGAGGCCCTTGCTGATGCTCCCAGGAGGCAGGTGCAGAGGGGCTGGAGCCCCATGTCCCTACTCTGTCCTCCAGGAATGAGCTGGTTGATGGCCTCCTTCTAAAGTGGCTCCTGGGTGTGTGACGTGGTAGTGTCTCATTAGATAACCTCCAGGACTGTTTCTAGTGATCATCTGAGTGTACTTGTTTCCTTGAGTTCCTTCCTTCCCATTTCAGTATAAATGCTGCAGTGAGTGTCTCAGGAAAACCACTCTGCTTTCAGGGAGTCAAAAGAAGAGGAATAAATTTTTATTTTATTTTATTTTATTATTGCTTGTGGGCAAGGCTCTCTGTTTTTTATTTTTTCTTTCTTTCTTTCTTTCTTTCTTTCTTTCTTTCTTTCTTTCTTTCTTTCTTTCTTTCTTTCTTTCTTTTTATAGTTTATTGTCATGTTGATTTACATATAACACCCAGTGCTCATCCCCACAAGTGCCCTCCTCCATGCCCATCAACCCCCTTCCCTTCCCTCCACCTCCCCTCAGCCCTCAGTTTGTTCTCAGCATGCAAGAGTCTCTCATGGTTTGCCTCCCTCCATCTCCCCCACTATTTTCCCCCTTCTTCTCCCCCACGGTCCTCCATTAAGTTCCTTCTAATTCACCTAAATGTGCAAACATATGGTATTTGTCCTTCTCTGCCTGACTTATTTCGCTCCGCATAACACCGTCTAGTTCCATCCATGTTGCTACACATGGTCAGATTTCATTCTTTCTCATTGCCATGTAGTATTCCATTGTATAGATAAACCACTTCTTGATCCATTCATCAGTTGATAGGACACTTAGGTTCTTTCCATGTTTTGGCTATTGTTAAGAGTGCACTGTGAACATTGGGGTACATGTGCCCCTATGCATCAGCACTCCTGTATCCCTTGGGTAAATTCCTAGTAGTGCTACTGCTGGGTCATAGGGGAGTTCTATTGTTAATTTTTTGAGGAACCTCACACTGTTTTCCAAAGGGGTTGCACCAGCCTACATTCCCACCAGCAGTGTAGGATGGTGCTCGTTTCTCCACATCCTCGCTAGCATCTAGAGTCTCCTGATTTGTTCATTTTAGCCACTCTGACTGGCGTGAGGTGGTATCTCAGTGTGATTTTGATTTGTATTTCCCTGATGAGGAGGGATGCTGAGCATTGTTTCATGTGTCTTTTGGCCATCTGGATATCCTCTTTGGAGAAGTGTCTGTTCATGTCTTCTGCCCATTTCTTCACTGGATTATTTGTTTTTTGGGTGTGGAGTTTGATGAGTTCCTTATATATTTTGGATACTAGCCCTCTATCTGATATGTCATTTGCAACTATCTTTTCCCTTCCCATCGGTTGCCTGTTAGTTTTGTGGGTTGTTTCCTTTGCCGTGCAGAAGCTTTTTATCTTGATGAGGTCCCAATAGTTCATTTTTGCTCTTGATTCCCTTGCCTTTGGGGATGTATCAGGTAAGAAATTGCTGCGGTTAAGGTCAAGGAGTTTTTTTTTCCTGCTTTCTCTTCTAGGATTTTGATTGTTTCCTGTCTCACATTCAGGTCCTTTATCCATTTGAGTTTATTTTTGTGTATGGTATGAGAAAATGATCTAGTTTCATTCTTCTGCATGTTGCTGTCCAGTTCTCCCAACACCATCTGTTAAAGAGGCTGTCTTTTTTCCATTGGATGCTCTTCTCCACTTTGTCAAAGATTAGTTGGCCATACATTTGTGGGTCCACTGCTGAGTTCTCTATTCTGTTCCATTGGTCTATGTGTCTGTTTTTGTGCCAATACCATACTGTCTTGAGGATGACAGCTTTGTAGTAGAGGCTATAGTCTGGGATGGTGATGCCTCCCATTTTGGTTTTCTTCTTCAGTATTACTTTGGCTATTCGGGGTCTTTTGTGGTTCCATACAAATTTTAGGATAGTTTGTTCTAGTTTTGAGAAGAATACTGGTGCAATTTTTATTGGGATTATGTTGAATGTGTAGA